TTCCTCATGATGGAGGAGTGATGCCTGTTCGTTGTAGGTAAACTCTTAAGATAGAGATTTAACTGAAAGACTCTACCTAGCAGTGTTTCAAAGCAGACACTAAGACTCATAACCAAACCCTCGGCAGAGTGCAGGGAATCATATGAAAGAAGGGAAGTTAGTATGATATGGAAAGGATAGGAGCTCTACAAGGACCAAATATATCTGGGCACAGGGTCTTTTCTGAGACTGAAACTCAACCAAGGACCATCTATGGATATAACCTAGAACTTCTGCTCGGATGTGGCCTGTGGTAGCTCAGTAACCAAGTAGTTTTCCAAAGTAAGGGGGACACGGACTATTTCTAACAGGATCTCAAGGGCAGGCTGTTTGACACCTCCCCCCAGGGGAGGAGCAGTCTGTTAGGCCACAGAGGAGGACTTTGCAGCCAGCCCTGAAGATACCTGATAAAACAGGGACAGATGAAAGGGGAGGAGGTTCTCCCCTATCAGGGGACTTGGAAAGGGGCAGGGAGGAGACCAGGGAGGGAGTGTGGGGTTGGGGAGGGAATGAGGGAGCGGGATACAGCTGGGACACAGAGTTAACAAAATGTAACTAAAAAGAAAAAAGAAAAAAAAAAAAAAGATAGAGATTTAAAATAATTAAAAATAAAGGTGACATGTAATTCCGTGGTAGAAAGAGCTATATAACAGGACTATTTTAAGTCTTCACTGTTAACACTTCATATCTGTTTGCATTTATTTTCATGTCGCTTGTTAATTGTCTCACAATTTTTTATTCTTTTTATAATTAGTTGCTGATCTAGAGTTGTATTTAAAAATAACAAAGTAGGGCTGGAGAGATTCCTCTGTGGTTAAGAGCAGTAGTTGTTCTTGTTATCCTTACAGAGGATCAGAGCTTGATTCCCCAGGGCTCATGTCAGGCAGCTCACAACTGCCTTTAGCAGCAGCTCCAGAAGACCTGATACCCTCTTTTGGCCTCCATGGGTAGTCACACATATATGTGCACACTCACACACACATACGCATGCGTACAAATTAGAAAACAATCTTTAAGAACAACTTTATTTACCTGTTTTATCTTATTTTCTTTTTGAGAGAGAATCTTGCTAGGGTCTGCCTTCAATTCACTATTCTCTTGCCTCACCTTAATGGGTTTGTAGATAGGAACTCTGGATCATAGCTCCAAAGCAACTGTTATTTGCCCAAAGGAAGTCTCCAAGGGTGGGTCTATATTTACTTAGTAAAACCTGGCTTAAGAAAAGGCTGATCATGTCAGAGACAGACACTGAACTGCCATGGGCTACATCTGTGCTACATCAGATTTTTGGCTTCTGTTGCTCTCCTTGTGGGGTTCCTGTCCTCTCTGGATCTTACTATTTCCCACTTCTTTCATAAGATTCCATGCACTCTGCCCAACAGTTGGCCATAAGTCTCAGCATCTGCTTTGATAGTCTGCAGGGCAGAGCCTTTCAGAGGCCCTCTCGGCAGGCTCCTAACTTGTCCCCTGTTTTCTCCTTCTAATGTCCATCCTCTTTGCCTTTCAGGATGGGGATTGAGCATTTTAGCCAGAATCCTCCCACTTGATTAGTTTCTTTACATGTACATATTTTAGTAGGTTTATCCTATATTATATGCTCTTTGATCACCTCACCCTGATGGGGGAGCGGCCTTATCAGGCCACAGAGGAAGACAATGCAGCCACTCCTGATGAGATCTGATAGACTAGGATCAGAAGGAAGGAGAGGAAGACATCCCCTATCAGTGGACTTGGGGAGGGGCATGCGTGGAGGAGGGGGAGGGAAGGTGGAATTGGAGGGGGAGGAAATGTGCGTGATGTTTACGTTTGCATTCATTTTACATATCAGTTTGGGCATCCATCTCATGGCTGCCAGTGGCAAGCCCAGGCTGGGACCAAAGGGCTAGCAGCTACTTGTATACTTATGTTGTTTACTAAAGTCCACAGAGATAAGATATTTATCTTTTGTTTTCTGTTTACTTGCCAGAGGTTTGCATAAACAGTAGGCCTTAATGAAGCCCGTTTGAATGCCCAGCATTTGAGAAGCTGGAGTAAGACAATTACTGTTAGTTTGAAGGCAACCTGGGCTACGTAGTTCAGGCCAACCTGGGCTATGGAGTAAAATGGAATAAAACAAAAACAACTGAAAAGCAGAAACAGAAGCAAGAAATTTGGGACAGAGGGCTATTCCTCCTAGGTTGTTCATCATATCCTTGGGTCTTTGTAGAAGTAAATTGACAAATAGTGTTTTAGTCCCAATTTTACTGGGATTTGAGGGTCATCCTGGGAGAGCTATTAGAACCAAATCCCTAGAGAACTATTATCAAATGTTGACTGAATCATGCATTGGAATTGATTTAAAACTTAGAACAAAAGACAGTAATTTCTTGAGATGGCAGTTGAAGCAAATGAACTAAAAATCTGATTATGAAGTTGTGAAATTCTGTAAGATGTGCAGACAGAAAACATGTTCTGAAAATACTTTGCATTTTTCAGAAGTAAAAAATTTCAATAGTTTCAAGTCTTCAAGTTTATTTAACTGGTGGACGTCCTTTTGGAATGAGAGTTCTGCAACTGCAAGTATAATTTCCATTAAGTTAAAGTAATCAATCAGACAAACAAACCAACCAACCAAAAACCCCCAACTTTATTTCCTAGAAAGTAATGTCTGAGACTAAGGTGTAAACAGAGAAATTCTTGGGTTCTGCACGAGATGCACAGGCCCACATGCAACAGGGGAGGGAACCTATAGGCCCGTGAGGCCTCCGGTAGTATTGAGGGCGGGTGGGCCCTGATGTGACCGACAGCCGTGTCCTCAGCCCGTCCTAACTGACCTGAAGGAGCGAGACAGGAGGGCCTGCAGTGACAGTCCTCACACCCTCACCTGGTAACAGTGCTGTGTGTGCTGCTGAGAAGTGATGGCAGAACACAGTGGCCGTGAATCTGAGGACGAGACTGGGGTCTGGTCTCCCCTCTCTTACTTGCCATTCCATGTAACAACTTTGAGCATCAGTTTTCTTCCCTGCGTGAAGAACGTTTCGGAGTTAATGATACAAATTGCCCTGACTTATCTGTGGTTGCTTATCATCGGCTAGCCTATTGGGTTTCACAGCTCTGTAATGCTATGATTTAAACACATAAGTTTCTGATATCTCTCGTTTCTCATTCAGCTTTGTATAAAAATTATGGGAAGGAATGTTTAAGCCAGGTACTGTGCATTTTGAAAAAAAAATTGATTTGTTGCTTTAGAGCATATGAAATCAATAAATACAAATTTCATTGATTTTTACAAATTAAAATCTTTATTAGAGAATGTATATATATATATATATATTTTTTTTTTTTTGAGAATGTATATTTTTAAAGTCATTTCTTTTTGGTTTGGAAATTGATCCCAGGGTCTTGTTCATGTTACGAAAATGCTCCACCACTGAACCATATTCCCATACCCTTTTATTAATATTAATATCATTAATGAGGTATTAATATTAAAATATTAATGAGATGTACATGATGTACCATAATAAATGTATTTTAAAAGTTGATCCAGAAAAATATATTTGAGCTTCCTCCTTGCTCCCACATGTAGCAGTCCTTTGTGGTAATCCATGGTGCATAGCAGTGATGATACACTCAGCCTATAGCTGTTGACTAAGCCGATCATCTTGCTTAGGTCAGCCCCGCTGAGTAGCATCTTCTGTGAGACCCCCAGGAAGTATGTCAACAGTCATGTACTAGCTGGTGTTATGGTAAAGTGACACTTGTACTGGACACTTAGAAACTGGCCTTGTGACTTCTAGGGAGAAATTGACCATTATTAAGGTATTAGTAAGGGCAGCGACTTCTCTCCATCATTTAAAAAAGTAGGTACAGGTGCAGCTGGAGAGCGGTTGGGGTCCTAGGTTGATAAGTGCATCATTCAGAGAGAGGAGCTCTAGGCACAGCTCAACCGTGTGGGGTCCTGGGTTGATAAGTTATTCCCTATGCTTGCTTGATTGCCTCAGATGTATGGAACCATTCGTCAACCTTAAAAAAATATATAAAAGATTCTTAAGAAGTAGCTTACGGAGTATCAGTTTCCCTATGGCTGTGTCATACATCCTTAGTTTTGGTTGACCCCACCCCCTCTCATACTTTCTGTCCCTCTTCTACCTTTTTACTTCTCCCAACCCCATCCAGTTACAGGCTTGAAACTTTTAATGTTACTTGTTTTCTATGCATTGTATTACATTGTTCCTTACTATTTGCAAGCTGGGATAAAGTTCTCATAATATAAGGTTGATAAAATTAATCATAGCACTGAAGCCTTTGAACTCTGATATTTAAGCATATTTGTCTCTGTGTTTTAGCTGCCGTATCAGACTTAGAGGGGGGATCCATCTTAGCTTTGGAGGCATTTGTAAAAAACTGAGGCTTCAGGATCTAACATCTCAAGGTGAAACCAGAGTTACTAGTGTGTGACTTTGAGTAGGTTTAAGCTCTTAAAGCGGAGACACTTTAGAGCAGCAGCTGGGAGAAATGGTTAAAATCTGCTCAAGTGGTTGGAGGTCAATGACTGAGCCAAATTTCAGTCCCTAGCCTGTTGTTACAGTAGTGGGTGCAGTCTGCATTCATATGCTTCTGTAAACCTGGCTTGGTCCCCAGCTCTGATCTGGAATTGTTAC